CAATTTATCAAAGACGACCAATAAACGAGCAAATTAAGATGTTAAATTAATACTTAATATATATTTGAGATTCAGCAACAGTAAAATCGCATACAAAAAATATTGAAATATAAACCGTCATTTTTATTGTTAATTTAAGATGTACATAAACGCCCTAAGTTTTACAGCGGTTTCTGCGGTACATGATAGTGTTGAGCTGCTTTATGCTGCCACAGAAACAGCGGCAAGACTTACAGCGTTTATGCATATCTTCAATTAACAATAAAAATGATGATTTGTATTTTAATACTTTTTGTATGCAATTTTATTGTTGCTGAATCTCAACTATATATTAATTAAATATTAATGTAGTATCTTAATTTGCTCGTTTATTGGTCGCTTTTTGATAAATTGTTTTGCTGTGTCAAACAATCAAACGGTTATACACATAAATGTTATTACCGCATACTTGAATGCTGGAGTCCAGTCAATTAGAATTAATGAATTTATACTTCTATTCTAAAATTTTCTTTTTGAATTAAAACCAGGTAAAATGTCTCCGAATAATATCAATAATCAGCCAACGTTCATACCACGCTTAAACTACCAGTTCTCGTCCGATCACTGAAGTCAAGCAGCGTTGGGCACGGTTAGTACTTGGATGGGTGACCGCTTGGGAACACCGTGTAACGTTGGCCAAGTTTTTTTTGCATTTTCCGTTTGCAGTTAAAAATAAAATATAAATATCTTGAGATATAAATTAAGATATTTATATTTTATTTCTCTCACTGCGTGCCAAGAGTGTTCGACTCCAGTATTTGTGTATGCGGATAATAAGAATTATATATATAATCGTTTGATTGTTTGACACAGCAAAACGATTTATCAAAAACGACCAATAAACGAGCATATTAAGATGTTAAATTAATACTTAATATATATAATAGCGTTTTCGACCCTGCCAGGTTTGCACCAACCTGGGTTGGATTAATGGCGTTTTGTGCTCTCATATTGGTAGAACGGACGACGTCAACCAATAGGAAAGATTAATCCAACCCAAGTTGCTGCAAATCCGATCGAGCCGAAAACGCTAAGGGTCCCATGACGCGTATCACTGTACGCGCGTATTCGCGTATCGAAGGATCCGACCAATCACCGACGATCCGCCGTTTTACGTACGCG